AAAGCATAAGAGACTCTTAAAAACTGAGAGCAAACTGAGGGCTGATGGGGGGTGGGAGGGAGGGGAGGGTGGGTGGTGGGTATTGAGGAGGGCACCTGTTGGGATGAGCACTGGGTGTTGTATGGAAACTAATTTGACAATAAATTTCACATATTTAAAAAATAAAAAAAATAAAAACAGAACCAGCATATGATCCAGCAATCTCACTTCTGGGTATATATCCACAGGAAATAAAAGTCAGGATCTCAAAGAGATATCTACACTCCCATGTTGATTGTGGCATCATTCACAATAGCCAAGACACGTAAACAACCCAAGTGTTCATCAACGGGTGAATAGATAAAGATGATGTGGTACATACAAACAATGGAATATTGTTCAGCAACCAAAGGAGAAAATCCTGCCATTTGTGACAACATGGATAGATCTTGAGGGCATCATGTTAAGTGAAATAAGTCAGATGGGGAAAGACAAATATTGTATGATATCACTTATATGTGGAATCTAAAAAAGCTGCACTCATAGAAACACAGTAGAATCGTGGTTACCAAAGGTTGCGGCTGGAGGAAATGGGAAGGTGTTGGTTAGAGTACAAACTTCCAGCTATAAGATGAATAAGTTCTGTGGATCTAATGTACAGGATGATAATTATAGTTAACAAACGTGTATTATATACTTGAAATATCTTAAATGTTCTCACCACAAAATAGAAATGGTAATCCTGTGAGTTGATGGAAGTATTAGATAACACTATAGTGCCAGTCATTTCGCAATATATGTGTATCAAATTAACACACTGTATGCCTTAAACTTGCACAATATTTATATCTCATTAATATGTTAATTTAAATAAAGGAATAGAAGAAAAATCTCCTAAGATATTTCTGCAATTTCGAACAAAATTACCTGTTTTTTGTTTTGTTTTTTGTTTTTGTAGGGAGAAAGGTAAACAATTCCTTTTCTATATTCTGTGATGTTGGGTCATGTTCTTGATACCCAATAAAAATGCCATCAAAATTTAAAATTCAAAACATAAAAATGAATGAAAGAATAATATGCTTATTACTTGTTATTATAAAGCATAAAAGAAAGCTTCTAAGTCAGGGATTGGTAAATTTTTTCATGAAGGGCCAGATAGTCAATATTCAGGCTTTGTCTACAAAGAGGCAACTAAAGATGCTGCTTATGTACTTATTTTAAATTTTAAATGTAACCATTTAAAAACATAAAAACCATTCTTGGCTAACTGGCTATAAAAATTAAAAGGCAGCTGGACAGATTAGGCCCATGAGCTGTTTGCTAAACTCTGTTCTAATGAATCACAAAATTGAGTTTGATCACATATATTTTTTAAAATTCCACTTATGTTAAATATACTAAAAATTCTAGACTTGTTTTTGGATTCTGAGGTTTAACATCTCTTCCTGGATACCAAATGCAATTCTTACCTATACCAGTATGTATATTTGTAAGATGAGAGAAATAAAAATAATTATTGGGAAAACCCTAATAGATACTGGCCAATAAAAAATACTCAACATCAAAATAATTAATATATACAGTACAAAAAGTATTCTCTGCTCTAAAGAAAATTTCTATATAACATTCAAACTTTTAATTTTACTAGCCCAAATTCCTAGCTAATACATAAAATAAAAACAATAGGTAAATCTGTTTCACTATATTTGAAGATGTTATAACTGCTTATGATGGCTCAAGGCTCAATATTCCCTTATTTACACAGACAAATGCTACCCTTTCCTTAATCTCCTGATTTTGCTCCCATCTTTTTACATATATTTCTTGTGACAATCAGTTATGACCTTCTTCTATCAAAATGTAGAAATTTTTCCCAAGTGCTTAGTCTCTCTGACTTCTCTGAAATGTTTTATAATACTGGCTGTTGTCTACTTCTAGACATTTTCTCCTATCTTTAATTTAGCGTATCATCTTTATACTCATTCTTCTCATCGGACACTTCCTTTTTTCCATCTCTATTCCTATGCATCATTTACATGTCCTACTCTTTATACTCAAAGAGTAGGTAGACTGCTAGCAGTTTATAATACCTAATTCCTCATCTTCCTGAGGTAAAAAAGCTAGACTATATTTTCCAGTCTTCTTTGTAGTTTAGGTGGTACCATTGATAGGGTCTTATCTGATGGAAGGTGAGTACAAGTGAAGTAAGCCTCTTTCAGACCTTTTACACAAGATCACCTCTTACTCAGACTACCTACTTGATGCCAATATTCAAACTGACTGTGGAAATCATATATTAATGTTGGTTGAGATTTCATCAGCCTACATCCCTCGATGAGGGACCACCATCAACTGGGCCATAAGAATAAAAATAAATATTTACTGAATTAAGCAACTGCAATTTTAGGGGTGTGTATACTAAGTATTTGGGAGGATCATCCTTTTCTAATACAACCTCTTTTCTACATTAATTCTTTTTTTTTTTCTTTTTTTTTTTTTTTTAAATTTTTTTTTAACGTTTATTTATTTTTGAGACAGAGAGAGACAGAGCATGAACAGGGGAGGGGCAGAGAGAGAGAGGGAGACACAGAATCAGAAGCAGGCTCCAGGTTCTGAGCCATCAGCCCAGAGCCCGACGCGGGGCTCGAACTCACGGACCGTGAGATCGTGACCTGAGCTGAAGTCGGACGCTCAACCGACTGAGCCACCCAGGCGCCCCATCTTTTCTACATTAATTCTAATCCATTAGATTAGAATCCATCCACTCCCTGATAACCTCTACTTTTCTGTAAGCTACAATTTATAGGTCTGAGTCATCATTACTATTCTCGCAGTATTTATGATCATGTCAACACATTTATGTGTTATTTATAATTATGTCATTATTTATGATTACGTCAACACATTTATGTGTTATTTATAAATATAATTATTTATAATTTATAATTATAATATATAATTTATAATTATACTAATTTATAATTATTTATGATTATGTCAACACATTTTTTGATACATACCACCACATACAACTGAAACAGAAGACAACTGGACTCATATTGACAAGCAGACACCCTCTCAAGTTTTGTCTAAGATCCCAAACCAAAATTCACAGACATTGATATATTTACTTTTTATTTATTTTTTTGTTGTTTTCCAAAGAAAAATTTTAGGTGGTGTTATTTCTTCCTTAGAAAATATTTTCACATTTTGACATTTCATTTTCAGAGCCACCTCTCAATATCTCATAATTATTTTTATTACCTTCATGTTACACATGAAGAAACTGGGGCATGAGAAGGTTAATTAACTTGCCCACAGTCACATAAGCTTTTAAGTAGAAAAACTAGGATTTAGACCCAGACAGTCTTGGCTCAGGGGTCTATGTGATTGGAACTATAATGACCACATTTTTAATAGAGTTAAAAAGTATAAGATGAGAAAATCAATCTTGAGATTTCTAAAAAATGCAATGAAAGTATTTAGGGGCTAAAATTAACTTTGAAAATGAATATTTTAAGTCATTGTAAATGTGAAAAATCACAAAAATAGACCAGCATAAAAAATTAAATATTGCATTCTAATCATCTAACTCATAGATTTTATAAAATAGGTTTTAAAGAAAAGAAGTACACAGACATTTACTTAGTACTTCATTATTCATTTAGGAAACAAATATTATTATAAAATGTTAAACATTTATATTTTCCAGTATATGCGAACTGTTTTTTAAAGAAAAACAGAAAAAACATATTTCTTACGCCATATACACCATCTCACAGCTCCATAACATCTTAGAAAGCTATTTCCAATACACAAATTCCATGCGTCTGACAATAACAATATTAAAGGCTATAAGGTCAAGCCTACAAGAATACATTTTTATTCATTGTCCAAATCAGAAAATATTTTGATTTTTTTTGCAGTTAAATACATTCACTAACTATTACGCATTTATTTTGTGTCTTTTATTTTTACTATTGTAAAAATAAAATTAATAAAGTAATATATTCATTTCTTAGAGGCCAAAATATCAAGAATGATTTATATTATGGTTGGTTTGTTATGAGATACATATGCCATTTATTCTTGAACAGAGAATTTTTGCTTACCTTCTTTTGTAGGACACAATGGAAAATGAATATAAACATTCCCTGTAGAGAATTGAAAATGGTGAAGAGATACGCCATGATGACTGTGCTTTCATTAATATACATGAGTCCAAAGGCCCAGGTCAATCCTAACAGGCAGAGAAGAGCTATTGCACCTATAACCCATGACCTGTAGAGAGAAAAGAAAATTAAAGGTTATCAAATGATCGGTCGGTAATTAACACAATCATATAATATCAACAATACTGACACTGAAAAAAATGTTACGGTAAGTTTTATTGACAGAAAATGTAAGACAGGTGGTGTAAGTACTTTAAGATTTTAATGGGGACTACAAGTTTTCAAATTTGAGGAGATATACATGAATGAAAATGTTATGAACACAGAAATTCGTTTGAGCAAAAGCAGATTTGGACTATTCAATTATTCATGTATTTGCAGCACATATGCAAATGATATGGAGATGTAATTATGGTGAATGGCAAGGGGGAAAAAGTCTATAAAGCTATGTTAGTTTCCACTGGCCTCATTGTTATGATAACATTTGTTTGATTGGACTCTCTCCATTAGTGCTTCATCTGATACGCTTTTACCCCATTTTTCCAAATTTCCTCTTTTTCCATAAAAATTTTAGTATTACTGACAAAAACAGAGCTCATATTAGCAGGAGCCAGTATATGGAATATATATATGAATTTTAAGAGCTCTATTTGTCTGTTTCTATAGTTATGTAAAACAAATGTGATACAGCGGGTGGGAAAAATTGTTCCACTCTGCATTGCAATCTACTTTGCCTTTGGATTGCTGTCTTCTAGGTTAAGCTGGACTAGACTTAGAAAATCAGGCAACTGGCAGCTTTGTTGAAAAGAATCTTAAAAGCTCAGGGCACCTTCATCTCTTTGAAGGGTCTATAAATTCGAAGGAGAAGATGGAGCTGAGAATGGGATGGAGCGGTATGAACAAAGTAGGCTAGAATGGAAGACAATTCTCACTCTCCATTCCCTTAGTTTCCTCCAGCTGCCATTCGCAATAGTAATCAATGGGTGACATAAGTCCATATATTCGTGGCCATGTGTTATGTACTTACTATCAATGTAGAATGAATCTTTCCAATAGATGGGAATTCAATATGTGAAAATGGAATCCTTTTCAACTCCTCTCTAAGTGTATGGGAGAATAGGACCAAACCAGTCTAGATTTCTATATCCTCATGAAACCACCCTTTCCTTTCCCAACACACCTCATTTGAACAGAGTAAACTAATATTTCTTTTCATCAGACTACACTCCTCCACTTGTCTAAGGAAGAAATGTTTATCGGGATTGAAACTTTGCAACATGAAGGGGTTAAAAAGAAAACACATGTATTTACTATAATCTGAAGCTGGGTTGAGTAAAGTTTTCAGAGAGAACTACATCTTAAGAAAGATATGGTCCCAAAGTAGTCAATTAATATTAAAGTCTTGTTAAAATAAATCATGAATATTTACTATTTTCCTTCAACAACCATCAGCTACTATATTCCATATTTAAATATCCACTAAATTTAACATGTTCAATTTAAAACATTAACATTATTGAATAAAGAATCCCTACAGGAGGTTTGCCATTGTATGTGGAATGTTTGCTTATATGAATTAGAAAACATCTTAGATATTAATATTTTATTCTATAACTAGATTAAAAATATGGGAACTTTCAAGGTAAAGCTCTCAGCTTCTTCTTACAGACATTGGAAAAAGGAAAAATGGAAAGAATACCATTAAATCAAGGCAAAATTGCTATTTAAATTTAGAAATACAAGTATAGGATAAAATCCTCAAGTTAGCTAGTATCTACTTGTAAACACATGATGGGCCCAAGAGTTAATAATATAAAACTGCAATGAGCCCAATTTCTAAAGAAAAAAATAAGCAAGAGCATGAAGAAGTAAGTGAAATGTCATTGGAGAAAATGAAAACAAAGGACTCTTCACCAGAAGAACAAACTGAAAGTCTACAGTAAGGTCACTCCTCGGTTGCCAATCAAGTTTATTGTGGCAGGACACATAATTTTAAAATGTACAAAAGAAAAGAGCCCAAATATCAACATTTATGTTTACTCTTATCAGATTAGTACAGACTTGTAGCTTTGTGTCAGAAATTTAAAAGGTATATTCATAAACAATTAGATCATTAATCCAATGGCATGTGTCAAAATTAAAAGAGGTAAATTTGCATATGTAAAATTGAATTTTTGAAGGAGGCATTTTTTTCCTTTTTGGATATTTAAAAGAGAAATCCAGTAATAACCAATGCAATCGGGTAGTTTCATACTCGTAAGGTCATTTTGAAGGTACCCCGCTAAATCACAAGATAATTTTAGATGAGTGATGTCCAAACAAACAACAGAAATGACGACATATGCAGCACAGAGGAACACGTCACAATGAAAGGAGAAAGCTACGAAAAGCGAAACAAGTCTGTACCACATGAAGTTGCTATTACTGTGGCACTGATTTCAGGTGATATCCAATTAAAAGAGGTGAAGCAGAATTTGTGTTTGGCAATACACCTGCAGCATATTTATTCTGCATACAAGTTGTATGCCTGATTATTTTCCTGCACAGTTTGCTTTTCTGCCTCAATGTGAATGACAGAAGCTCTAATGATTTTTCAGTACTGATCTGACAGCTGGTTCATGGGACCACACTGATAAATGGAATTTATCAGCCATTCAGGTCATTCTTACTTGATGAAGGGTCTGTTATCCTCATAGCTAAAGAATGCATAGACATAAAGACAAGAACACCAACATTAGCATTTTATGACAAAGATTTCATATGAAAAATATTCTCCTGGTCCCCAAAGGCCTCTGTACCCCACCTCCCTACAAGGCATCGTAGCCTTCCCTCTGTATCCAGAAGGTAAATCCTAAAATGACCATGAGAACTTACATAACAAGGAATAAAATCAATTTTACAATACTGCAATAGCCCTTATGAGACTAAAAAATTCCATTTTTTCATCATGTGCTCATATTACTTGTGACTTGACATAGACATTTATTTCTTAGAGATCGCATTTCTCTAGAGAATGAGAAATCTTATGAGCAATCTGGAAAAGGCTTGGGGGCATACTTAGAATGACAGACTCCTTGTCACCTAAAGGTATCCTTATTCTGTAATATTAGTAGGTAAGATTACTTAATTATGGACAGCACATTTCTAAGTAATTTTAACTTGCAGATGATTGATCTGAGATAAAACTGAACACTATAGCCCTTTGAAAATAATCAATCCTGACCACTTTAAAATTCTTTCTGTTAGTGTATTAAGAAAAAATCTGAATAATTTTTTTCTAGTAATAGGAGCAAACATACAGCACCCGTTCATGATCACTTATGTTAACTAATTTGTTTTGTATCATTCTGATAAAGTAAGATCCCAGTGCCAAATTAGTAAAGATTAAGTTAGGGAACATTTCAGATCATCCTTTTGTAAACAGTCTGTTCAGTGAATTGTGACAGAATAGAAAAGAGAAACTCTCTGCTCTTTTCTCATGCTAGGGGCAATCGCTTCCAATATTACGCATACACAAATAAAGCCCTTGGGCCCCAACTGTGATCCATTTTTGATTAAAGAGAACAACTGATGGGAAACCTCGCTTCTCCAAAATGATGACAGAATAAAGAATGGGGTAAGATCCTGGGATTTAAAGCCAGTTTGTTTGGAAATTAATCCTAGATCAGCCACTTAACCAGTTATTTGATCTCAGGCAAAAATTAACTAACCTGTGGTTGTGTCAGTTTACATACCTATGAAATGGTAATAATCATACATAGGTTTCTTGTAATTATGGAATTATATATTATATATAAAGTTCTCAGAATGGTGCCTGGTATGTATTGTGTACAGTAAATATATTGTTACCATTAGACTATTTAAAGCTCGAGTAAAGTCACACTGAAAATATAGAATCTCTCACCCAAAGAATAAAACACCAAATAATAGACGTTGAGTAGTCAAATTCACTTGAGGACATTTCAGGAGCAATATTATGCAGTAAAATAGATGCGGCGGAAATAAGTTTGTAAATGGAGCAGGGAATGACTAACTGTGCGGTCTAATATGGTGACTACTGGCCACATGGGTTTATTTAAATTTAAATTCTTTAAAATGAAATAAAGCTTAAAATTCAATTCCTTAGTCACACTAGTCAGATTATAAGCACTCAAAAGCTTCAGTAGCTGCCATATTGAACAGTGCAGTTTTAGAACATTTCTGTGTTCACAGAAATTTCTATTGGACATTGCTGGACTAAGACATTCAAAGAAGGTTTTAAGCCAGAAAATGGAATTCCAAGTGATATTTAAATAATGCCATGGATATGTGAAAGGTAAAGAGTGAAGAATTTCTTAGAATTGATTGTTTTTAATAGTTGTAAACTGTTCCTACAAAGAAAATCTTGTACTTAGGTTAATATTGAAATGTTATAGAACATAATACTATGAGACTTATCCCATTATATGCATTCCCACTGCATCCATATATTCCACCTGTAATTCCAAGGTTATGATTGGAATAACTATTTCTACCTTCATCTGTATAGTGGAACGTCAAGTAAAGAAAATTTCAGAGGCTGGCATATAGGAATATATGCAAATACACTGTATGAAATTGTACTGAGCTATCTAAACGTTTCAAAAAATAAAATACAAAACTTGCACTGTAATCGCTGGAGTGAGATGTTTTCCCATTAATGGGAAATATCAAAACAGGGTACAATTCAGCAGTTTTTGTTGGCAATTGTGGGAAAGCACCAGTTGTTCCACTCAATAACCCAGAAATGTAATCCCAGCTTCACTTACAGTTAGCTACAGCCATGCATTTAAGTAGTGTCCACTGGGATGCGAACAGAAGTGAATTGTGGCATTTCTGGGTCTTGCCAATTAAAGGATTGCAGTCTGGCTTCCCTTGACCATTTTTTCCTCCCCCCCTTTGCTAGGAGAAAATGACAGAAGAGCCTCAGATTCAGAAATGGAAGCTGTTTACTGATGTGGAGCTGGCGTATTAGATTTAGACCACTTTTAAACAACAAATTTAGGCCACTATATTTTAGAGTATTCTTTTAACTGGGGCTTAGCCTGTGCAATAACTGATAAAGCATTTAATTTGTATATTTTAGCTATAAGAATTACCAGTTCATATTGAATATGAAATCCACGCTCACGGACAAAGAACCATTCATTATTTCTAGAATATAATAAATAATATACAATAATTCAAAATCTAAAGAACACTGAGGATTACCTAAAATATATCAGCGCTTTCCATCATTTTGTCAGATATTCTGTTGGCTTAGAGGATCTAGTTTAATAATGTCTTTCTACTAAATTCAAGTTAAATTGATCGTAATGTTGCCACCATTTATGGCGGCAAAACTGTATGCTATTGATTCATCTTTTTATTTATCTACAAAACTAGTCTCTAAAGCTCAATAATTTTCATTCTGATTTACCAATGAAAGTCTATTGAAATAAAGTCTCATTCCATGCTGTATGACGAAAACAATTTCAGTGCAGTTATCTTAAGATTTTATAAAAACATGGACACAAAGGCCTAACATGCTCTTGGCAGATGTTAACAGGAATTTTCAGGTTACCTTATAATTTCTAAGTGGTGACTTTCTGAAAATGAAGTAAAATGTCTTGTACATACAAATTTTAAGAAACAAAAAGAAACCCTCCTTTCTTTAACAAATATATTTTTTTGCCAAACAGTTTAGTTTATTATTTTATTCAACTAACATCTAAAATTAAAAGCTTTAAATATTAATGTCATAAAATTATCTTAAACTGTGATCATTAGAATCAATATCAGAATCAAATTTTTATGGGTCTTCGCACAGATTGATAATAATTATGCATATATTTATGTATTCTATAACAATTTCAAAGCCCACAAAAGGGCTATTAAAATCTAGCCCCATGGAAACAACTCAGAATACATCTTCAAGAGGACTGATTTCTTAGCCAAAATATTAACTGATACATACTAATACTGTGATATAAAGATTCATAATACAGAATATCAGTATAGACGGATAATCAAAGGATAGAAATAATGTGAATGAGTCAAGTTAATTGTAGGATATTTTTTCTCAATTTTAAGAGTTCAAAAGAGAACATTGTTTTGGGAGATATTTTTTGAAGGAAATATCTAAAATTCAAGATATAAGGAAGATAGATTAGTTAAATAATTTAGAACTTTCCCTTCTATTATATTCACATATAGAATTTTTGTTGTTGTTGTTGTTTTAAGTAGTGGGATGGGTAATGTCTGGTGTGAAGGAAGATGGAGTGATGGGAGGTGTATTTGAGAATTTAATCCCCATGCCCAAAGATCTGATCATTAAGTCACAGCAGGTAAAGGAAAATGAATGGCTCAGGCAGAATTGTAGATAGCATCAACATTCATCCCACTCATCCTATCAGGATGAATGCATTCTGGGTTGCTTGGGTGACTCAGTTGGTTAAGCGGCCAACTTTGACTCAGCTCATGATCTCACAGTTCCTGAGTTAAAGCCCCACACAGGGCTCTCTGTTGTCAGCATGGAGCCTGCTTCAGATCCTGCCCCCCCACCTCTCTCTTTGTCCCTTCCCTGCTCACACCCTCTCTCCCCAAATAAATAAACATAAAAAAAAAAAAAAAAGATGAATGCATTCTGGGATCCTCTGGAATTGGGTCGTTTGCTAATTGTTGTTGGTAATTGAACTGTGTGTTTAATAGTGAGAAAGAGAGCTATCAAAGTGTAGATAGATATCCTGATTAGTATCCCAATATTTCCACATTCAGTATGCAGCTAAATTTACTTTCTCTGGTGTGAAACTAATTGTATCAAAGGAATAAAGACATTTCCCCTTGAATTTGGTTTAGGTTACCATAGCAATGAGAAAGGTATGGCCAGTGAATTTCTTATATAAATATGTATCTTATATAAAGTGTATTCTTCATTCTTTATTGAAGAAAAAATAAAAAGCTAACAAATACTTCTGTGTCTGTATGATAAGCAGGTTTTCTACTGTTCTTTAATCAGTTCCCAACTGAGGACTAAGAAGGATTCAGTTACCCACGTTCTAAAAGGATCTGGCCACAACCCACACTAATGGACTTCAGGTAGAAGTAATCTTTGAGACACTGGTTTGCCAAACTACCAATCCGGGGTTCCCCAGTCTTTACAACTGGAATCATAAAGACAAGGTCTTTTAGGACTATAATGTTCACAGACTACAGGAAGCAGTGGAAAGAAAAAGGAAAGTAACACCTTTACTTGTACTAATTCCCCAGCAACAAATCTTAGCAGACATGGGAATGTTTTAAATGGGATATATTTTTCGAGTTTTAAATTGATCAGACATTTAAACACCAGAATAGCCTGGTCAAGTAGCCACATCTAAGACAGCATTTAGAGATCTGCTACCCAGTGGTTAAGGAATATTTAAGATAGCATGACTCAAAGAGTAGTGATCAGAGCAAAATCTAAATATTTCATGTTTCTACCTCACTCTGTTAAAAATGCTTAATCAATTAGTAACAGGACAAAATCGTGACTGTTTTATATTTCTTTCAAATGTATTTTATATATCAGGACTATACTATCCGAGAATTATATTCATTTCTCTCTCTTAACCACTACAGGAAAATTAAAGAAAAGTCACTTAGAATATAATTCAACATTTCTGAGTAAAATATGAAAAATGTTTCATTATGGTCATAT